TATATATATATATATATATATATATATATATATATATATATATATATATATATATATATATATATATATATATATATTATATATATATATATATGTGTGTGTGTGTGTTTTGTTTTTACACTTTTACACATATATACAATTTCGTCTTCAGATGCTTATTGCAATCTCAGATGTCCAAAGATCAAAAACCAACATACTGTAGGCTATATAGCCTAATAAAACCACCAAATAGTAGTAGTCTAACAGTACTGATAATTAAAAAAAATAGAAAACGAGTCTGCGTTTATGGAGTGATAATGCAAGAGAGAAATGTGGGAAAAAGGCGAAAAAAGCGTGTAATACACGAGGCATAGCCATGTGTTTAAATTAAAACACTTGTTGAGTATTTAAATGTCTCAACATTCCCTGAGTATAAAAAATAGAATACAAAAGATAGAAATTTTGAATAGTAATAAACACCGGGAGCTACCAAAATACGTAGGCCTATGTTTTCAATGAAACACGTAAATTCGGAAACGGTCGAATATATCTGAGCATTAGGCGAAAAATCACGACGAAAGCAATGGTTGCATGCGGTTGGCAATAATCAACCTCTATCAAACCTCGGTTTAATATCTCTCTAACCTTGGTTTAACTTCAATCTGACTCAGTTTGAACTCAGTCTAACCTGTTTCTTGAATACCCAATTGTTGTGGAATCTTAAAAATAATGCTCAAAGCCGTTTTATATATAAATTTTTAATTGGCTTTACTCCTATTACAGGTTAATTTAACATTTTTGGTTCAAGATACGAAAAACGGTAGCGCGACCCTTTCTCCAAATATTCAACTTTGCCGATGCGTAAACGGTGAATGTTTTGTTCCTGAAGCTACATCAGAACAGGAGGCAGCAATCGAAAATACTTTTCTTGTTATGTCATGCAATTGTCTTTTTGGTTATACCGGGGAATTCTGTGGAGAAGTGAGAGATTTCTGTGCAGGAGAATTGACGCCACCTTGTAATCCTTTGGTCACATGCGCTAATTCTGCAGCAGGTTTCATGTGTGGGAATTGCCCGAATGGGTACGAAGGAAACGGACAAATTTGTTCAGGTCAGTTAATTAACCAATTATGGAAATAACTGACAGTCCTTATACTCCTTCCACTATAGTTCGCTTCCACAGTATCATATGTGGCACTAGTAGCTACGTAGTATGCTTAAACGACATAGCCGTCTACTGTTAATCCCCGAGCCGGCGGCGCGAAGCGCCGTGCGAGGGTACTAATTCCCCCCGGCTATTTACACCCGGGGAAACGAAAGCATTAGCCAAGTCTAAAGTTCATCAATGAGCGCGGGCGTCGGTCACCAACGATGGGTGGTCATCCTCACTGATCTCAAAAATATGGCGGACTGTCATGAATAACGGACACTGATTGGGCCAATTTAAAGTTTGCATTATAACGGCTGCATGACGACAGCGAAATAGCAAACATTTCTTGATTTGATGAGTTGATGATTGATAAATTTCTTGCAAATATTCTTCATTTTTGCTCGTATTTCTGCAAGATTTTGTAAATTTCCAGAAAGAAAGGGCGAAAGAATCAGCTAAAAGAAGGGAGCCGACGTTAACGAAGGTAAGTTTGTTTTAAATATTGATTTTATAATGGCTTTAAAACCCGACGGCCTTTGCGTATATGAAACAACTAAACAAGACAGCATATTATTTCAGTGTATCTTTAATATTGATTCCCTTTTTTATTATATTGAATTTTTTAAATAAAAAATAAAGCAAAGTTATTTGCAAGCGAGAATTTGAAATCATTTTATTGCAAAATCAAAGTTTATCGATATATAAAAGCCATTTAATAGTTAATTGTTAAAGGCAGTTTAGTTTTATAAAGAACTCTTTAAAACGTTTTGTGAATTGTTTGTGGTTAAATTTTACCTTAAATTGAAGCTTGTATTACGTATAATTACATACCTAACATAAATATGTTGGAAAATTGATAATTTTGTAATTAAAAGTGATATTTTTAGGCGATTTTCATTTGTAAGAATATTCTTAAAAAATTATCGTGTTACCATGACAACTACTTTAGATACTTCATGTTCGGAAAATACAACGGTTTTGTCAGCAAGGCGAGGGTTTCTGCATGCATGTATTTTCTAGTATATGGGTATACATGGCTGATTGAAATAACCAACCATGCATATTTTTTTTCGAGCACTTAAGGTTGCAACTCCAATTTTGAGACTTGTCCAAATTATGGAAGTTAGGTTAAAAGTATATTAATGTTTTGAACAGGAATTGGTAAAGAAAATTGGCACATATATATTAACCCTTAAATTGTCAATTTGTGCTGAATATCACCATAAGTGATTCTGAATGGCAAATAGTGAGTTATTTGGTCAGTAAAATACTAATCAAGGCGGTGACATAACGTCATTCACTCTATCTCATGGTAAAAGCCTGAAACATATATTAAAGGTAACGTAGTTACACTACAAAAGGTATAGCGAAGGGAATTTTTGGCGACATTATCATCCATATACTTGTTTAATAATGGCCGCGGCACACTTTAAATTTTTATTTTTAGGAGACGGCGCTTATAGAGGGAGGTGTTTATTTGAGGACGGCGCTCTTTATTAATTGCTTTAATTTACCCTATCAAGATATTGACGAATGTCAAGGAAGTCAAACGGTTTGCGATCAAGTATGTACGAACACAGTGAGTTCTTACTTTTGTGGATGCAACGATGGCTTTTCTTTGGATTCAGATGAAAGAACTTGCAGTGGTAGGTTTATTCTATAGTAAGCATAACTGAGAGTGAATTGTTCCTAAACAGCTTAGCATACTATGATTATATGATACAAAAATTTAGATGAGAATTGCAAAAATTATATATGTATACGGCTGCATATATTGACAGAAAGATTTTTCTAAATAAACATATTTTAATAATAGAAATATTAACAATTGCCCAAGAGCTTTCAGCTGATCAAGGGGCTCTTGTTCTATATATATTTACAATAATTTATTATCAAGTAGGAAGTAGGCGGTAAATACATTATGACAATTTAACATTTCATAAAGGATCAAAAGTTAGAGTAATAAACAAGTAGAGGAAAAAGAGAGAGAAAAATATTAATAAAGGTGTATACATGGAAGAGTACTACTGGACTACAAAACCGGTTTGGAATTAATTATAAAATCTTGTAC